TTTTTTTTTTTTTTTGAGATGGAGTCTAGCTCTGTCCCCCAGGCTAGAGTGTAGTGGCACGATCTTGGCTCACTGCAACCTCCGCCTCCTGGGGTAAACCAATTCTCCTGCCTCAGCCTCTCCCAAGTAGCTGGGATTACAGGTGCCTGCCAGAACACCCAGGTCCCTGCCTTCTAGAGTTCTACTCACATTCTCTCTGGCATTGACAATGATCGATCTTTTTTCTTTTTTGAGACTGAGTCTCACTCTGTCGCCAGGCTGGAGTGGAGTGGCTTGATCTCTGTTCACTGCAGCCTCCACCTCCCAGGCTCAAGTGATTCTCCTGCCTCAGCCTTACAAGTAGCTGGGATTACAGTTGTACCACCACGCCCAGCTAATTTTTGTATTTTTAGTAGAGACGGGGTTACACCATGTTGGCCAGGATGGTCTCAATCTCTTGACCTCATGATCCGCCCGCCTTGTCCTCCCAAAGTGCTGGGATTACAGGTGTGAGAAACCGCGCCCAGCCTCGATCTTGTTAATCTGTGCCAGTCGTTGGGTGGAAATGGCATTGCAGGGGCGTCATTCTGATTTCCTTGATCAGCGGGCATGCCAGGCATCTCTTTGGAAGTTAAGAGACCACTTGTATGTGTATTTCCTTGAATGGCCCGTCTTTCTTTAGGGAAGCTCGTTTGGTTTTGGTTGGTACTTGTGATTGTTGAGACTGTTTACACTGGGCACAGCCTGAAACCCAGCTCTCCTGGGCTTGCTCCACAAGAGAAACGTGCTGGGCCACCTCTGCTCAACTCCAGGCTTGAGGGGTCCAAGTGTACTAGAGCTCTGCTCCATTTCTCTGGTCCTGATGGCTCTGACCATCTCTACTGCCAGCTCGGTCGACAGGTGAAGGAGAACAGACAGTGGTTTCCCAGCACCGTCTGATGGTCTTTCCAGAATGCGTTGAGTGGCAGAAACTCCAGTAAGGCTCCAGAAGTATGGATACTTCCCTGCTTCTTGCTAATTGGCCCTTCCCTTAGTCAATCACTGGTGCCAGGGTAAATGTCAGGTCCTGATTGGATTAAGCTAGCCAGGGCCCGCCCCTGGTGGGAGGGCAGGCTGGTGGGAGGGGCGGGTTCAGAATCCCTGGAGTTGGTGAGATAGCAGCTCCCAGGGGATGGGCCTTGGGTTCCCGGTTGCAGATATTCTCCAGCTCTGACTCTCTGGCTGTGATGTTTCATGTGTGTGTATGTATGTAGATTTTTTTTTTTTTTTTTTTTTTTTGAGACGGAGTTTCGCTCTTGTTACCCAGGCTGGAGTGCAATGGCCCAATCTCAGCTCACCGCAACCTCCGCCTCCTGGGTTCAGGCAATTCTCCTGCCTCAGCTTCCTGAGTAGCTGGGATTACAGGTGCGTGCCACCATGCCCAGCTAATTTTTTGTATTTTTAGTAGAGACGGGGTTTCACCATGTTGACCAGGATGGTCTCGATCTCTTGACCTCGTGATCCACCCGCCTCGGCCTCCCAAAGTGCTGGGATTACAGGCTTGAGCCACCGCGCCCGGCCATATGTAGATGTTTAGAGTATTTGTTAGCAATTTTGAGTCCTGCTGATGAACTTCATTAATTCTTGAGCTCTTGGATGCACCAACGCTGGGCACTCAAAGGGAAAAGGACTGTGAGGTCCCTGCCCTCCAGGTCTCAGAGGAGGGGAGGGCAGTGACGAAACTGGGTGATCGAAATGGGTGTGGGGAGGAAGTGCCCAGAGCAGGGCTGCAGCTGGGGCAGGCCTGGGGCCTTAGAGAAGGGTCTGTACAGAAATGCAGGCTTGGCCTGGCACCATCTGGAGTGTGTGTCAGGCAGTGGTGGGGTCATCAAGACCCAGGATTGAAAACAGGGACTCCTTGAGGGGCGTGTTAGTCCATTTCTGTTGCCATAAAAGAACACCTGAGCCTGGGTACTTGAAAAAGAAAAAAGGTTTCTTTAGCTCACCGTTCTGCAGATGGAGAAGTTCCGAGGCCTGGGCCTGGCTTCTGGTGAGGGCTCTCGTGCCACGTCACAACGTGGCAGAGTAGGCTGATGGGGATGCTGACAGCCGTGAAAGACGAAGCCCGAGGGGCGTCCCGGCTTCATAACAAGCCACCCTGGCAGATGCTGATCCATTCCTGGGAGCAGTGATCTAGGCTCTCGAGAGTGACACCCCACCACCAGGAACAGCACCGGGCCATTCGTGAGGGATTTGCCCTCATGACCCACAGCCCCCCGCACCGGCCCTGCCTGCCAGCACTGGCACGTTGGGGATCAGACGTCAACACGAGTTTTGGTGGAGACGGACAAAGCACGTCCGCATCGCGGCTGAGGCTGGAGTGAGGTCGGGGCCGGCAGAACAGGTGCTCTGTGCTGTTTGTGTGCCAGCTCTGCGTGGGTGAGCATTTTACTGCCAGGACAAGGGAAGTTGTGGGAGACCCCTGGGCCGCCACTGGGAGAGAGCCCACCCTGGGGAAGACAGGAGGAAGCTGGGGGTAGGGGAGGAAAGTGTAACAGGCTGTCTTAGAGGTGCTTAAGGTGCGGTGATATCCCAGTACAGCGCCAGGTAAATCCACTGATCTGGACTTGGGGAGGGAAGGGCTGGGTGCTCGGACTGGGCGGTCTCTGTCTGATTCACCCTTGTTGTGCTGAGGCTGGGGTCCCTGGCTCCCTCCTACCCACCTGGAGCAGAACCCCTACCCTGCTCAGATCAGCAGGCCTAATGCAGGACCTCGGAGGCAGAGCAGGGTGATGCTTTCAGCGCACCCGCAGGGAGGATGCTGGGTTTTCCTTCCTAACACTCCCGTGCTTCTCTCTGAGATTTGATCCTTCCTTCGTCTACCGTTACAGATTCTGAGAACAGTAACTCCACAGTGGCATCGGCCCCGGAGGGAGAGATGGAGTGTGGGCAGGAGCTGAAGGAGGAAGGGAGCCCGTGCTTGTCCCTGGGCTCAGAGGGTTGGCAAGAAAACTCAGACGACCCCTGTTCTGATGCCTCCTGGACTGTCCAAAGAGTGAGTGTACTGTCCCTGGCTCCCCTGCTCCCCGCTGCTCAGTCTGCCCAGGACAATCTCACTGCACAGCTGCCCAGCGGCCCCGAAAATGCCACCATGTCTCAGCCCATTGAACCTGCCCACAAGGCTGCAGCAGAGCAGCCCTTCTGCACCTGATTCAGCTCTGGCAGGAGTCTGTGGGTTCCACACCTCCTGGGGCCTCCGCCTTCCTTTTTTTTTTTTTTTTTTGAGACAGATATGAGACAGAGTTTCACTTTTGTTGTCCAGGCTGGAGTACAGTGGCTCGATCTTGGCTCACGGCAGCCTCCACCTTCCAGGTTCAAGCAATTCTCCTGCCTCAGCCTCCCAAGTAGCTGGGACTATAGGCATGCACCACCATACCCGACTAATTTTTTGTATTTAGTAGAGACAGGGTTTCACCATGTTGGCCAGGCTGGTCTTGAACTCCTGACCTCAGGTGATCCACCTGCCTCAGCCTCCCAGAGTGCTGGGATCACAGGCATGAGCCGCTTTGCCCAGCCTCTGTCTTCCTTTTCTTTCTGCTAGATCCAATATGCATGTGCCTCCCAGAAGCTGTGGCTGGAGGTGGGGCCTGAGCTGCTGCTGTGTGTGTCGCATGCTTCCGTGTGTCTCTTTGCATTGAGGGTGCAGGCTCTGAGGTGCCTTGCGGTTTAGGGCAGGGACTTGAGCTTCTGCCATGTGCGTGTCTTGTGCTTCCATAGGTCTCTACATTGAGGGTGCATGCCCAGAGGGGCTTTGAAGCTTTGGGTGCAGGGTGAGTGCTCTGGAAATGTGCTGGCTGGCAGGTTGCCCTTCTTAGAAGGGTGTGGCCAAGCCATCTTTTGCCTCCCTATGGCCTCCAACGGCCCCTTAGGTGTGTTAGACACCAAGGGAATGCCTCCTCGGGAACAGTCCCAGTTGGAGTGCTAGGGGAGGCTCTCCAGGGGAGTGTCCTGGATATGTTGAAGGAGAACAGTTGGAAGAGAGGGGACCCCGGCTCTAGCTCAGCCTGGGAAGACACCGAGGGCTGTGCCCAGCTCCCGGGTTTCTTGCTGGACGCTGAGAGGGGGAAGCTGTCTTTCTGTGTCTGCCCTGGGGCTGGTTTTCTGTGTGTTGTTCCTGGCAGGTGGCACTCCATGACTGGGCTGTGGTGGGAAGTGATGCAGCTGCAGTGCCATGCTCTGTGGGGTGTG